ACCCTGTCGGGCCTCAACTGGCTTTATGCACAGCTGCACTGCTTCCTGAACTTTAGCCAGCTCCTTTGTTTCCTGTCTGCCATTATTGGACAAACTGATTAATCCAGGTGTGCCTGGCCTCAGTAACAATAATCAGGCACACCTGGATTAATCAGTTTGTCTAATAATGGCAGACAGGAAACAAAGGAGCTGGCTAAAGTTCAGGAAGTAGTGAAGCTGTGCATAAAGCGTACAGCAGCAAAAGAAATATGATGGAAAAGATAAAAGTATTCAGCTGTTTACAGTTGCATTAATATAGAATTAAACTGGCAGCTATTTCAAGAGTTTTGAACATGGCTATCAGATTTTAGAACATTTAGACCTTTTGTTTTATAGTATGTTTAGGGTTATGTTTTTAAGTTTGAATTCCGGGTGATTCTCTCTCTTCTATGGAAGCTTGTTTCCGCCACATAATGAAAAATAAAAAAGGTAATTGCGACTTTTTATTTCACAATTCTGACTTTTTTTCTCGCAATTCTGACTTTATTCTCACAATTACGAGATATAAAGTCAGAATTGATTGATATAAAGTCAGAATTGCGTGAAATAAAGTCGCAATTGCGTGTTATAAAGTCAGAATTGTGAGATATAAAGTCAGAAATGCATGATATAAAGTCAAAAATGCATGTTGTAAAGTCAGAATTGTGAGATATAAACTATTCTGAGGGTAAAAAAGTTAGTAATTTTTTTCCTTAGAATTGGCCTGATAACTCGCAAAAGATGTCAGAATTTCGAGATATAAACTCGCAATTATGTTATAAAGTCAGAATTGCGAAATGTAAACTCGCAATTGTGAGGAAAAAAGTCAGAATTGTGAGATAAAAAGTCTCAATTCTGTCTTTTTTTCTCCCAATTGCGACTTTATTTCTCAGAATTGCGACTTTTATATCTCGCAATTGCGACTTTATTTCTCATAATTGCGACTTTATATCTCGCAATTGCGACTTTATTTCTCATACCGTAATTGCGACTTTATATCACGTAATTGTGACTTTATTTCTCAGAATTGCGACTTTATATCTCGCAATTGCGACTATTTCTCAGAATTGCGACTTTATATCTTGCAATTGCGACTTTATTTCTCAGAATTGCGACTTTATATCACGCAATTGCAACTTTATTTCTCAGAATTGCGACTTTATATCTCGCAATTGCGACTTTATTTCTCACAATTCTGACTTCATATCTCGCAATTGTGAGATAAAAAGTCGCAATTATTATTATTATTTTTTTTATTCAGTGGCGGAAACAAGCTTCCATACTCTTCAGCTAAGTACGTTGCCCAGCCAAAAAAAATACAAGATCTTGACCACAAATGTATGCACCTCTTGATGGAAATTTATTTCCATCATGAAGTGCATTCATTTTAGGTCAATATCTTGTATTGACGATGTATAGTCTCCTTCAGCACATGTGTGGAAATGATTATTCATGCTCTCCTCAACCATTCTTTCACAATCTGAGTCTGATGAATCTTGACATTGTCATCCTGGAATATGATCATGATGTGTTTTCCTAACATGATAGAATCATAATAATAATGATCCAATCATAGACTCTTAAGTATCTTCTTAATATATTTTAAATCTAAACAGCAACTTTTCTTTGGCCGGGCAGTGTATATTTGACCCTAAACAAGAGAAGACCGCTTCCCTTTGAAAACATAAGGTCATTATTAATCAAAACGCTGGTCACATAAATGACGGTATATATAATATGATGTCGATAGAGTGAAAGGAAGTTCATTAGAACAGGATCCACTAGTTATAAGGACAGGAACAGTCTGGTTCAAAGATAGTTATTATGTCAATTTTATTAGATAATGGTAAGTTCGACTTAGAAAGTTCGATTTTGTCAATACGAATGAACTTTGCAGTTGAATTGAAAGGGTTTCTCTATTTCTCTGTGTTGTAGCTGTGCAATAATGGCCACTAAAGGCCTGGAGGCGTATGATGGAGGGGTTTTTGCTGAGTTTCACATCCTCTCTATACCAAATCACATCATCTCAGTGGCGGGCTGGGGCGTCACGGAGGAGGGGACCGAATACTGGGTCGTCAGAAACTCCTGGGGCGACTTCTGGGTTAGTAGATTACAGGGCTTTGACCTGGGGTGTGTTTCCCGAAAGCATCGGCATAGTTATCAGCATAGTTCAACAAGTCAGTGTTTCCCGAAACCACTCTCGACCTGTGGTTAGAAGTATAGTTTCTAGTTTGCATGACATGCGGACTTAATAAATCCTTATCTTGAGCAAAATAAGCAAGCTTACATTCAGTACAACCGGTGTCTTTTATTCAGAACACATACAAATGTCATTTACGTCTTTGAGTTTGTCAAGATATTTAAAGCACAGTTTTTGAAGAGTGTGCATGTGTGAACGTCTATGATTGAATCTGGAAATAAAGCAAAATAACTGAGAAATATTCCTCAGATGCCATGTCTGTAATATATATCAAAACATCTAGCATTAATTTGATCTCAAACAGTTTCATTAAAATAAGTTATTACTCCACCACGTGCGTGACGTCATAAACCAACGTGGTTGAACGACCACTTTGCGACAATATGGTTTCGGGAAACAGTCGTGACTAGCTAGTTGATTTCTCCAACGATGCATCGTACTATAGTAGTGAAGCATCGAGTTACGGCGTTGTACGGGAAACACACTCCTGTTCAGCTTTACCACACTGTGGATTAAAGAAAAGAGCAATCAAAAAATGTATTCTCTGAAAAATTAAAATGATGTCATCAATTACTCACCCTCATATGGTGCATTTCCACTTTCTTTCATCGGTGGATCACATACTGTGAGGAGAAACTGCTTCATGAATGTAATAAACCTTGTCCTGAACGTTCAGTACGTATGTCTGTGGTTAAACTGGGCTTGTCGTGTGTGTGTGATCTCTCTTAGGGAGAGTCAGGCTGGGCCAGGATCGTCACCAGTGCATATAAAGGAGGGAAAGGCAATTGGTACAATCTCGCCATTGAGCACAACTGTGCGTATGGAGACCCAATCGTTACATAGATCTGGAGCAATTCCTCTCATAGAACCATGTTGTTCATAAACTGGACCGGCTCTGGGATCAGAAGCTATGAATCATCAACCTGTTGTTTATAATTGCTATTGTTGTTTTTTTAATGTCAACTAATTGTTTAGGATGTAATTCGTTGTTGTCATATCAAACATGGGAGATCTGCCGTATTATAATTTTAAAATCTTGAATCAAATCTGTAAGAGTGAATGTAATTGAGAATGCAAATGATTGATAATATGCAATTAAGTGATTCCATGCATGGTGCAATTCACTTATTATTATTATTTTATTACAAGTCACTGTCTTACATTTGCCAAATACTTCAAGAGTGGTAGAGGTGGTCACTCAATTTTTTTTAATATTGCACATAATAAATCAGAACTCTTCCTATAATTGCACTTTAGCTTTAGCATCATTATTTTACGGAAATGCTGTTCTCTTTTAGCGGTGGCAATAAAATTGATTATTTTTGTTCATTTTTCATTTCTTGAGTGTATCTAACCCGTTAAACAAATCCCTGGTGCCTGTTTCACTAAAAAAAATTGTACATGTTAAGTAAAACATAATATGAGTATGACTGTCCTCTGAAATAATTATTTTAATGGCTTTGCAATGTACAGATCATAAAGTATGTAAATACATGAATGTGGGTATATATGCCAGACTTACAATGCAAACGTACTTTGGCTCCATGTTCAATCTCTATACATCAAGCTAGGGGTCAGAAAAAGGTTGAATACTACTATATAATGTGAATTCAAGTCATTTTGTCAAGACAAGATGATTTTCATTGCTGTATTACAGTAATAATTGAATAAGAATTATCATTCAGACTAATGCGAATTACAGACAATAATAATAATAGGCCTACATTTTATTTGTAATGCGCCATTCTTAAAGCGCTAGATACAAACACAAAATAACTTAGTCATGGAAATTTGGGGTGGACAAATATGCCTTATTACCACGAAAAAACAATTATTGCTAAAATCGTTACACCAGTAGGTGGCGACAAGTGACTTAAAGATGTATCAAAAACGCTGACATATTTATGATTGAGTCATTGAATCATTCATTCAAACCAATTTTTAATTTTTTTATTTTATAACTCGTTTTATAATTCGTTTTAAATTGATTAAACATTTTAAATAGACTGCAGCAGTTAACATTTGGTCAGAACCTATAGGCCTACATGTTATTTTGTTTAGTTGTCGGTTCAGAATCGACAGAAGCTACATATTGTTTTCAATATATATTTATATACGCTACTGTCCAAAAGTCAGTAGATCAGTGCATTTTTTTGTTTTGTTTTGTTTTTAAAATAGGGGTTTTTATGTTCCAAAGCAGCATTTCGTTGGTCAAAAAATACAGTTGAAAACAGATGTCTTAATAGCCTATTACTATTATGAATTTACATGTCAAAGGTAGACCACAAAAAAAGTGATTTGTTAAAATTGAGATTGTCTATCAAACATATTTGGAATAGACGGTCAGTAATTCCTTTCTTCTTTTTTAAAGTCATTTACGCTGTTTATTATGGCATATGTGTAAATGTGCTGTACTGGGCTATAAACCGGAGCTCTTGCGTTCTCTCTCTTCTGGGCATAGCAACAGCACTAGAAGACACTGCATTGGTCAGAACTCACTGCAGGAAGCCCTACAGTTCGTTACACCTCCTGTCAGTCAAACAGAACACGAACCGAGACATGGTTCCCGACTCCCGGAGAAAACAAGGGCACTGGGCTGGATAATAACCCAGGCGTGAGGAGTGAGGATGAGGATGAGGATGCCGAGAGGAGCAGTTCCCCGACGCTGGAACGGCTTTATCAACATGCATCTTTATCTCTCTACAATCTGAAATCTAGATTAGAATGCAGATGCCAAATCATCTCCTCTGCAGAATCCGATTTAAATAACATTAGTGGGTTGAACTAACAGGTTATTTGAATAGCTTTCACTGTGTTTCGAGAGATCTTAAACCCTGCAAGAAATTGTGGTGCGTAATTTACAAATCCGATTCGTCTCACAGACATCGATACAGGTAAGAATCATATTTCAAAATCACATTTCAAATGCATAACGTAAGGTTGCATGCTAGTTAACCGTCTCGTTAAAGTGTGATGCTTTACAGTGTGCAGTGTGTTTTGCAAACCAATGCGTTGCGCAGCAACCAATCAATCAATCAATCAATCAGTGTCATTGATGTGTACATGTTTTGCATGGAAACCTGCTCTAGGATGCAAGACAATATTAACATTAATTGCAAAAAATTCTAAGGTTAATGAGGCATCATTGTTACTGGAGGGGTTGTGCTGATGCATTGCAGTGCATCATTTATTAAAACACCATCCTTCTTAGATGAAATGACTTGCATTCTAAGCGTGCTTCAATGACACACTAAACCCTTGTGGATAACGAGTCGGCTTCATTGAGACTGTACATAGTGTTCTTAATGTAGGTTACTAATCAGCATACTGTACAACAACCTAGTGCCTACACACTCCAATTCTGCATTGCAGACTGAATGATGACACACCAAAACACACTCCCACTCGGCAAATGTGGGGCAATGCATGCAAGAGTTTGCTTTGGGTTTCATGTGAAATATTATATGCACCATCGTCCAATAGCAAGACCACGGTAAAATCAATCAATTTCCCAGTAATATGCAGTGCATTCTTGCAGTAAGTCGAAACATAACTGAGCAGAATACACAAGGAGCAGCAAAAGGTACAAATGGGGACTGACAAGCTTGTTCATTGCAACAGGAAAAAATATAATAATAATATCTTCTATAGTCAAACGTATTAAAACTCTAATTCTAAAATATGGGTTTAATCTATTGAGAGTTCAACTTCTTGTAGTTTTGATTCATGCAAGTGGGTTTTTGCTTTTATTATTTACCCTGCAACGTGAAAAAGAAGTACAAAGTTTAGTGCGATGACATTACCAAAAAACATAATCAGACAAATGATAATACTAATAAATATTATTGTTGAAAACAAATTGGCTTGCTCACTGAAGGGTATGTAAACAGTGTTCTTTATAAAGCAGCATTGGGAAAGTGCTAATGCATAATAAATCTACTTTAGATAGACCTTTTCCTCTTCCTCTCCAGATGATGTTCCCTGTGGAGATGTGGTGAACAGCACCTGATGCTGGAGAATCATTAGCTAATTGGCAGATCGATGTTTCCCTCCTCTATCTCACTGTTGCATCCATACTGAACTTGCTGTTATTTTTCTAGCCGCCTTACAGTTTAAAGAAAGAGTTCACCCAAAAACGAAAAATCAGTCATCATCTGCTCAACCTCAAAACGCTTCTGTAGCTCGTCTTTCATCTTCTGTGGCGTTTGCCTCACACAAAGCTTTCGCATAACTTTAAAAGACAGGAGATATCAAGATAAAACGGCAATCGCAGCCTATTTTACTGCCAGGATGATTAATTAGATGAAATTTGGCCATTCAACCCTCAAAAAAATCAATGAATAATAAACAATTTTCTAGTCAATTGTAAATAAATACACTTAATTTCATCTCATTTGCTTCAGATAATAGAGAATCTGCGTTTGAAAAACAAATCATGTGTCTCTGTGTTTGACCGACAAGATCTCTGACGTTCTTCTTAAAAAAAAAAAAAAAAGAGCTATAACTTCATTGCATAATAGCATAATACGAGATGTCCTATGGCAGGATCAGCCTGCGGCATTGATTTTAGCGTAGGTGCTGAAGTCGACACTTTCACCGCTGCAGAAGCTGAGAGTAGCAATCCAGCAAAAACAGCAATTCCTAGAGGATCCCGGACGGTCTTTACATATGCGGGAAAGACCCGAGACAAAACTACTACTGTAAATCTGACCCCAAACAACATCTGAACCGCACAATGTCATTGCATTGGATACAAAATGCAATGACATTTGTTTGCTTTTGCTTTAGAAATCTGTTTCAGGTTGATGTTTTGGTTTCTGGTTTGTTTTAATTAGTTATCATCATGTATTGACGGGGACTTGATATGCTTTTGATATGTTGAGTTTATTTTTATTTTTTTTATCCTTTTGTGGAGGGGGCAGGAAATATAATATATTCTTCATCCTGCCTCCTTTTCATCATGGTATTATAAATTACATATATGTAATTCAGTAAGTCAATGGAAAATATACATGAATGAAATAAATAAATATAAACATAAACAAACAAAATGTCAGCAAAACGTCTCTCAAATCTTGCTTTCTTTACACTAACTTCACTCTTCTTCATCAATATTGATGTTTCAGCATCTTTTAAATAAATGACACTGGCATGGACATTTGTAAGTGTAGTGTTTAAGATCACTGTATATGATTATGACCTCAGTGACTAGAAATAGCAGTTTGATTACAGTTAGAAGTGGTTGATATATACAAATATATAATTGTTACAACAAAAAAAAAACACAAAACAGCAAGACAAGACTAAGATGTTTCGCACCAGCTCATCATATGATTAATAATACATCACCACTAAAAACCTTCTCTCGCTGAGTCTGAATAATGTATCGTTCCTCAAGATGATTCTGCTAAAAACCGAGCAGGTGAAGGACAGAATAAGATGATGACCAATCTTGTTGTGTGTTATGTTTGTTGCTTTATTATTTGTGGTCTTTAATTTGAATTTTTGTATGTTTCAATGGTCATGTGGATTTATTAAAGGGGTGGTATAATGCCCTTTTCATAATGATTAAAATAAGTCTCTGATGTCCCCAGAGTGTGTATGTGAAGTTTTAGCTCAAAATACCCCACAGATATTTTTATATAGCATGTTAAAGTTGTCACTTTTTGAGTGGGAGCAAAAACGCACCGTTTTTGTGTCTGTCCCTTTAAATGCAAATGAGCTGCAGCTCCCGGCATAGGGGGCGGAGCTTCAACAGACCTCAGAGTCACACACGCACTGAAAATATCAATGTTTATGTTCAAACCGGAGTCAGACAATAATGGAGAGACTCGAGTCGAGAAGAAGTGACAACATGTAGAAGCAACAGGACATCTCTGAATGTTTAGTTGATGAGTTTATGTAGCTGATGTGTAGTTATCTTCTAGTCATTGATTAGCACATTCTGTCTTGATAATCTATAAATCGTGTTCCGGGGGCGGGGTTTATGTAAATTCTAAGGTTGGTGATGTCACTAACCCGGGAGGAAGCTCGTGTAGTTCCTACCAGCCGTTTGTTGTAGTCCTTAAAAAGCAATTTATTTTAAAAGCAAATATCTCCCTTTGCTTTGAACTTTGAGCGTCGTAACTTTGCAGATGTTGTTTATACTCAAACAGCAACATTACACACTAACTAAAGTTAGAAATGTGAAATCATAATCAACCACCCCTTTAAATGTCTCTGGCTGTAGAACAGGAAGTTTGGCCTGTCATAAACATGTCACTTCCTTTGTGGAAGCGGCTGTCTGCTGACTGATAGGGCTGTGAAAGACAAGGACAACATTCAGAAGAGCGAGACGGAGGATAGAGTGGATGATTGACTGTGAATATATTAGCAAACACCAGTAAAAACATGGAGGGTTGTTGAGTTGCGTTTGTTCGGGGAAAGCGAGTGATAACAACATTCTGCTGAAAGACAAATAACTTCAACAAAGGCTTAAAAACAACACGATGTTTACATTTACATATTGTTTATATATACAATTTGTTTTACAGCAGAAAATAATTCTTCTACATATTAAATATTACATTTACATATTAAATTATATTGCTATATAGCTTCAATTCTCTTGCACTATAAACTAATGAATCTTTCTGTACATTTACACACTACATATTATGTTTACATTTACACATGACATTATATTGCAATATGACTTTGCAGCTACAATTTCTTTAAATTAGAAAATTCACCTTTTCGTACATATACATGTTAACATTTAAATAATAGTTATGTTTCAATGACAGTTCCAGCAACAATTTTTCTTACACCAGAAAATAATTCATCTTTCTGTACATTTACATATTTTATATTATACAGTTTTATAGCTAAGTTGTAAATAAACATAATTGGGGCGTGTTTTACAAGAAAACACTATTTCAGTCTTTCTACTTCAGTTTCATGTTTAATTCAATATGTAATTATTTGTGAAATTACTAACAATTTCCTTAATTGTTTCAATTTAACTTTTTTCAATGCACAATTTCATATACACCAGAAAATAATCGTAATTGATTTTGATTATTTTTTCAGTACAAATACATTACAAAATAGCAATATTTTCATCTGTGACTTCAGTCGCACGATCAGCAAATCATGCTCACTAATAATTCAGTCCAGAGTCTATGTCCGTCATTTATCTAGGAAGCGTCCAGCGCATACTGATGATCCGCTGTCTGTTTTGACTTCGGTTTGACTATATATCTAATAGAGCCGGCACAGAAATCGACCGCTGTAAATATTCCACAGGATTCAGGAACCGCATTCACTTCCAAGAAACAATCACAGCTGGATAGGTGTATTGATTTGCATGCAGGTATTATCGTAGTCACGTTCAATACAGGACACTCTCTCCATTAGTTCCCAAGGGAAGCACATTGGAAGAGCCCAGGCTATTTTTAGATCCTTGTTTAGGTCACAATGTGAATCATCTTCTCTACTAGGATTCCACTGGCACGATCCAACACGCAGCTCGCTCTGTTCCCACTGTAACTTGCTTTTACTGAGATTAATTGCATGGGTGAGTGTGTGTGCATTTTAATACTTACCTCTGTAGTATCTCACACTCCCAGAGGAGTTTATGTGCTCAGATGTTGCTCTTTTAAAGCTCAGGATACTTGATACTTGGTTTGGTGGCATGGAGTAGCAATTATCTCAGATGTTTCCCCTTAAAGTCATAGAAATAACGAAAAAACGGCACAAGTGAGTCAATAGTTGTCATATAGCAAGCTGAACAATTTATGTGAACAGCAATTTAACAATTTGATGAGAAATGTTTGAGATCATTGCAGACTTTGTTGAGATCTTTTCTGAAACTCTAGGGGAGACACATTTTTTTCCCTAAGGAAACATCTCTCTCTATCTCTATTTAATGTCATTGCTGTTTAGGAGAAGCATTTGAGATACGATAGAGATCTTATTTCTTCCCTATGGGCTTCCATATCAGACAGCCTCCAGGCTCTCTGGATCTCTCTCTCTCTGCAGTGTTGTTTGCATTTTTCATGGTGTGTTTGTGAAAGCCTTGCTGACAGCATCTGTCATACCGTCGCTCGCTGGAACAGCAATGCAGCGCTTCTTTTGTGCAGCTCACACACAAAGACTGGAGGCTTCGACAATATCCACCATAACCAAATTACACCGCATTAGTGCAACAGGAGCTAAAATGATGTTAGGAAGATTTAAACTCACCGAACTGGGTGGAAGTTAAATTGGTAGCAGAACAGCATGGACTGGTTTCCTCTGGTAAGGGTTTGACCTGTGATTTGTGAACGGACCTTTCGGTTCTGAAGAGAAAATATGTGATCATTTTACTTCTGAGTGAAACAAGAAATTCAACGAGGAAAAAATTATAGATGCATTTATTTTATTCAGGGGTGATCGATTGAACAAGTGACTCTTGAACAAGTATATCTATGAGAATATTTGTCGAAAAATATACAAGGGCTTGGTAATGTCAACCACAAAGCCATTATTAAAATCTGAGTTATTACAATGAACGATTATGAAAACAAACAGGATTCTTTTCTATATTGGATTCCGGATTCACAAAACATTCTGAAGAATAAAATCACTCTTTACTACTATTTTCTTCTTATTTTCTAACTTAAGAAAAAAGCTAAGCATATTTTGTATTCCAGAAAAAAGTTCTTACAAATGAAGCACGGATCCATTATACTGTTATTAGGGGTGTAATTCACGGTTCGGTTCGATACGATACACTTGTGTCACGGTTCGGTACGTTTTCGATACAGCAAAAAGAAAGAAATGCCAGAGAAATTTCCTTGATTTCATTTTTTTAATTATATTTTTATTAAAACTAACATCATGATATTTTTTTACTTTGAGCAATGATGGAGCTATACTTGACTTTTCTTAGAGCATATAAAACAAAACATCTCCTTGGACAAAATGAAATGTAATATTGTAGTAGTTATAAACAAAGGTTTATTTTAGTTCAGATTAACATTTGAGGGCAGCAATTGTATTCATAATGTCGAAATAAAACCGACGTGATGTTACTTGAAAGCATTATAGCCTACTATTCCTGCCAAACTCCCATGGTTACAGTTAGTAGTGTCACTACAGTAAACCCATGGTGAATGTTGCTGATCTGTGGACACTGGATAGTTCATTCATGGCACAATGTTTCTCCTGGTTTCCACGTCAGCGCTGTTTGATCCGTTAATAACGGAGAAATGTGAATGTTTCTCACTAGATCTCGCAGCGATGTTAGTACTTCAGTGGCGAATTCAGATGCTTTCTTTACTGGATTTCGCTGTGTAGTGACAGTGCTGATGATGAAGATCGGCTCGCGCTGCATTGGTCCAAACTGATAAACGGTCTGTCAACCACACAATTACAAAATTACATTTGCCATTTGATGTTGTGGTCACGCCAGCGTCTCTTACATTATGAGCGCGCTTGCCACGCGCGACGCGCCTACATTTGAAATAACGAAATTTTGGCCGGCAGGAAAAATGGTCCAACGAACCGTTCGGTTTAAAAATGCGTACCGAAAACCGAACCGAAAGCCTCGTACCGAACGGTTCAATACGAATACGTGTATCGTTACACCCCTAACTGTTACAAATGCGTTTTCTTTCTCAACTGTTTATGTTCACATAAAACATAACTGACTGGCATTTTGCATTTATTTTGTGTGTATTTGACAGTTTAAGCACAATAACTCAAAAAATAACTCAATTTAGTACTGAGAGGCTGCTTTATGTGGATGTTTGAGCACAAAATCTGCAGAACTGAGTAAAAGTATGTACAATCCCATGCAAAAACTCAAGTCCTCTTACAGCAACAAGATTCATCCGGAGCAAATTAATCGAGTGAGTGAGGAGAGGCGGGTTTGTGTGTCACTCGCTCTCGGAGAGATGAGAGAGAGAAAGCGCAGCTGTTATCATGTATCTATTCTGTGGAAAAAGAGTATTGGAAGCGTTTCATATATTTCAGTATCGAAGAATCGATATTTAGCCAACACTACTAGCCTGACTTCGTCATACTCATACTGTATTCTAGTCAGACTGTGAGTCTGATACTGCTCCATAGGGCTTTGATTATGAGGCGTGTCTTAACCGAATCAGGGGGAAAAAAAAACTCTGCACTCAATTGGATAGACCTACAACCAATCAGAGCAACGCAGTAAGTGTTTGTTTTTTTTATGAGCGACGCAAATTGTCAACAGAACTCAACTGCACGCACGCTGGAAGAAGTAGTAAAATAATGAGTGTTGCTTCTTTTACTTGGTCCTCCATGAGTGCGACCAAAGGAGAAACCACAACGACCACAGGGTTTTCATTGCGTCCCGTCTTCTAAGAGACCATCGGAGCCAGCTGATAAATTAAACTTTTGCCGAATCCCGTAGGAAGGACGGCAAACACATCTTTCCGATCGACAAATGCCTTGATTGCAGTTCACTGTTCGTCTTTTAAAATGAATGCGCTGTCGATTTCTTTTACAACAGACGCGATAGCGAATACATCTCAGTTCTCCAGCTGCAGTGATCTCTGAGGGAAACCAGTTCAACCAAAGCGCTCTTTGATAACGTGATGATTACGTAACTGCAGATCATCTGTCCATCATCGTATAAAGCCCGCCCTGGCAATTTGATTGGCCCGACTAATTCTGAACCGATCATAATTACTCCTCAATGGATCGAGTCCAGACCGAACTTCCCAGCCAAAAAATGTCGTGGGCGGGATTCGGGCTGGCATCCAGGCTACAACACTACACTGCATTTAATGTATTATTTCAGATGCCTTTTTAAAAGACTACAATTGAAAAATGTATAAAATTCAACCCTCCAAAGTGTCTACTAGGAGTGACTGATGAAATACACCCGAATTTGGCGAGTGTTAATGTGAAGTTGTAATTGTAATTGTGTGTCTTCAGGTAAACCGGCGACATGTTGACCAGCATCACCGAGAGCATCTTCTGCTGTCTGTGGGGAAAGACGACCAGCGTTGTGTTGCCAGTTGAATCATCTGACGGCAAGCCCGCTGATGGATTCGAGTTTGTGGAGGTGAAGCCAGGCCGGGTTCTTCGCGTGCGCCACATTCTCCCCGAACGTCCCGCAACCACAGACGAACAACCAGAGCCGAGCAGCAGCAGCAGCGTCCACTGCAAGCGCAAGATCACGGTGTACCGCAACGGCCAGCTGGTGATCGAGAACCTGGGAGATGTCCTCCACTCCGAGATCCTGCAGTGCCAGAACGGAGACGTGGAACAGTGCAGCACGGTGGAGGTGGAGCTGTCGGATTACACCACTGCACCGTCCTCCCCGGATCCCAAACCCGCTCCAGCTCTTCTCATCTCTGACCAGCAGAAACCCGCACCTCCACCCAGACGCAGGCGACGGAAACCCAAGCGCACCGTGCTGATCGACACGCAGCGATGCATCAGCAGCTGTAAGGGAACGCATTCGGACGTGGCGCTGTTCTTCATCCACGGCGTGGGCGGCTCGCTGGACATCTGGGGGAGGCAGCTGGACTTCTTCTCTCGGTTGGGTTACGAGGTCGTCGCTCCTGATTTGGCGGGTCACGGCGCCAGCATTGCTCCTCAGATAGCGGCGGCGTACACCTTCTACGCACTCGCAGAGGACCTGCGCGCCATATTCAAGAGATATGCCAGAAAACGGAACATCCTCATTGGTCACTCATACGGGTAGGCACTGCCCTTCTACCCAACGTACACACACTACTGGTTAAAAGAGTGGAATAATTAAGATTAATTAATGTGGTAACACTTTACAATAAGGTTCATTAGTTAAAGGGGTCATATAATGCCATTTTTGTACAAGCTAATATGATTCTTTAGGGTCTAAATTAAAAGTTTGTAATATACTTTAATTAAAAATTCTCATTAGTATTGTAAGAAAACACTAATTTTACCTGGTCAAAAACAGCTCTGTTTTCAGCACGCCGTTTCAGTGCATATGACTTTAAATGATAATGAGCTTTGCTCACCCCGCCTCTCTGTGCTGTGCTACACCGTAACTCAATAACACAATAACCATAACGCGTTGTTCAGTATAAACGTGGGATTATGAATTATATTGAGAACGTCGTACATAGAAAACATGCCGTAATGTACCCTGAGTGTAAACCTTAGACGCATTCATTGTGAAGCGTGCAGCTAGCGATTTGCAAAGATTAATATATTAATATAAAGGTTAATAAAACGTTACACTCACTTCAGTTGTTCTAGAGGTTCAGCAGGAACACGAATATCTGGTACTGATCCTTTTTTCAGGAGCAGCTTCTTAGCAAATCCAGCTTTATACTGATCCTCGTTTATAAAGCAGTCTGGTGAGAAATGATTCGCGCAAACATGAGAGCATTGACGTTGCTCGTGGGGAATATTCCCTTCGAAAACAAACTCAGCCACTGCGTCTTCAGCGGTTCGGATTTAGGAACATTAAAATGACTGTGTTCGTTATTACACCCAAGAACAGAACACCACAATCGCTTAGACGCCATTCTGCTCATAGACAGTGCTCCAGCATATCAACAATGACCGCGCCGGTCCGCGCAGACTATGATTGACAGCTGGCTCATGAGCGAGGGCGGGTCTGTGTTGAAACGGTGCTGTCATTTAACAATCGTGGGAGGGGCGTGCGAGTCTGTGACGTCACAGGCTCGAACGGCTCGATTTGAGGCAGGGGAAAACATATATGGAGATTAAAACAAAAACACTGGATGGATTTTTATCATTTTATGATGGTTGTGTACAGACACTGCCAACACACATTTCAGTACAATCAACTTGTAAAAGTGCATGTACCATTATATGACCCCTTTAACATTAGTATTTACTAGGGCTTTCAGTTAAACGCGTTATTAACGGGGTTAACGCAAACCCATTTTTACGGCGTTCATTTTTTTATCGCGCGATTAACGGCCTTTTTGGCCTAGCAAACTTTGTAGTTTTTTTCACATGCTTTCGCAACAGGTCGCAACCTATTCATTTCAATGGCTTGCGCCGCGCAAGGACGTTTTGAAAGCGCAAGCGGATCTAGCTAGACCGGAAACAAAACAACAGGCACGCCGCACACACTTGTTTGGGCTTGCGAGCCGGCCAAATAGTAGGTTAACGTTACGTTTTGAGTGGATGACGAGCGCGAGACGCCGAAATGGACGCCAATAAGATTCTGAATTGAAAGTTTACTTTTAAAAAGTTGCCAAATGGTTCCATTGACGAGACCAAAGTGATCTGTGTGTTTTGTCGTTGTGAACTGAGCTATCGTCATCGCAGCACGTCCAGTCTGAAATACCACTTGATGATGGCCAAGCACACACACACACACACACACACACACACAGCTGATGCGAATTCTCCGCCCCCTCGTCAATATCAGGACCTCGTCAGTATTTCTTTCAACCTTTTATTGATGGACAGTGTTACATTGTGTGAGAGATTATTTGCGCCAAGTGAGAATGTTAGTGGGAAATTTAACACAGTATATGCCAATGTTGTTTTCAATAAATAAAACATTTGCACAAAGCAAGCCGATCCACTTTTCCATGTTGATAAGAGCATTAAAATAAGAAAAAAGAATGGGACAAAAAGAAATCAAGAGACATTTAGAATAGATTAAAATGTGTGATTAATTGCGATTAATCGCGAGTTAACTATGACATTAATGTGATTAATCGCGATTAAATATTTTAATCGTTTGACATCACTAGTATTTACTAACATGAGCTAACAATGAGCAATACATTTGTTACAGTATTTATTCATCTTCGTTAACGCTAGTTAATAAAAATACAGCTGTTCATTGTTTGTTCATGTTAGTTCACAGTGCATTAACTAATGTTAATGGACTAAGTATTAAATATTAACTAAGATTAAAAAATGCTGTAGAAGTATTGTTCATTCTTAGTTCATGTTAACTAAGGTAGTTAACTACTAATGATCCTTATTGTAGTGTTACCATTAATGTTTTTGAACTCTTTTACTAACCAAGGCTGCATTTATATGAACGAACATACAGTAAAAAAAAAAAACTTAATATTGCTAAATATTATTACAATATAAAATAACTGTTTTCTATTGTAATATATGTTGAGATGTAATTCATGGCAGAGGCTATTTACACTAAGTGTAAATAGTAGTTAGATGCTATTTATACTTACTGCACTTAGTGGCAGATACTATTGTAGTACATTATAAAACAGTATATGCAATAATGACAACATTGAGTGTAAATGATTATATTTTTTAAAATCATTATATGAATGCAGCCTTTTTGGGACAATAAAGCCCTCACTACCCCTACCCCTAACCCTGCCTGATAAACACTTTATTCCTACTATTAAGTACCCGTTAGGCACTTTATTTTCCCTTTTCGAATATTTTCTTAATGTTTATTTAAAATAAAGGCTACTCCGAGCTGATTTGCGATGAGAAAAGGGAGAATACATATATGATGAGAAACAAATTTAGTCCAGTGTCATAGGTAACTAAAACTAAAACAATAATAATTAGTAATAACTTAAAATGAACAAATAAGAGTTACAAAACTTAAACAAAAATTTGAAATGTTACCTTTGAAACTAACAGAAATAAATTGAATTTAGACTATAAAGTTAAATTAAAATATAAAAATAATAATAAAAATGACATGCACAAACAAAATTACTTAAACTAAAATGAAAACTGAAAATATAAAAGCTGAAAATATAAAAGCTAATTCAAAATATTAACAAATACTATAATGGTATATAAATATTACTAAATTCAGTGTGTCCAAGCTTATGACTGCTACAGTACACTGAAAAAAAAATATTTTAAATGAAAAATAAAATGAGCTAAACCAACACAAATGCTATACATTTCGTCCCGACTTAATTTAATTGTCTTCAATCCACATATGCATAAGTAAAATTGAGGTCTACTTAATCTGTTGAGCCTACATGAATGATTTGTGTTGCATTAACTGAATAGTTCTATAATTCACAAAAGCCTGTGTTTCTTCCTGGCATGTTTTCATGAGCAATTATTGCTAATCCCGGATCACCGTTTTGTCCCTGTGAAGGGTGTCGTTCTGTACGTTCCTGGCACACGAGTATCCGGAACAGGTGCATAAGGTGGTGATGATCAACGGAGGCGGCCCGACAGCGCTGGAACCGAGTCTGTGCTCAATCTTCCAGCTGCCCTCCTGTGTCCTGCACTGTCTGTCCCCGTGCCTCGCCTGGAGCTTCCTCAAGTAACACACGTTCTCTTTATCAAAGCAGAACATAAGACAAAACACAGTTAGAGACGAGACCATCAAAACAAAACACATCAAACAGAATTCATACTTTGCACGTGACGTCACAAGTACTGGCTGGTGGGCAAGAACGTCGTTCTCCAGCAACGAAACCCAGTAAACTAATCAAGGATCTTGGCAGGACGTCGCCAGTTTTACTACACAAAAGTTGGTGTTTTGAGGTTTGTGATATCTATGGTTTTCAATGAGAACCAGAGATGACCCAACAGTAGAGCTAGATTATTTACGGAGGAATTATTACTGCTGGATTATCTTAAAAAACCTTGTCTGCTTTACACAATTTAGCTACCTTGGAGTTAATCCTTTTTCTAGTCCATAGTTATGCAGCTAGCTCGCTAACAGACTTGATAGCTACTTAAGACCTGGAACTACAGGACTCTACGTTGAAAATACCCGTTTGTTGCCCGCCAGGTATCCATGGAAGTCACGTGACTGCAAAGTATGAATATAGGATGTACGTGTAATTATGTAAAATTGTGTTGGGTATGTGTACATCTCTATTCTTAGTTTCCTAATATATATACAGGTGAAACTCGAATTTTTTTAATTTTGAAGTTCATTTATTTTAGTAATTCAACTTAAAAGGTGAAACTAATATATTATATAGACTCATTACATGCAAAGTGAGATATTTCAAGCCTTTATTTGTAATAATGTTGATGATTATGGCTTACAGATATGAAAACCTTTTTCACAATATTCTAATTTTGACTTTGGGGTTTTCATAAGCTGTAAGCCATAATCATCAAAATTATAACAAATAAAGGCTTGAAATATCTCACTTTGCATGTAATGAGTCTATATAATATATTAGCTTCACCTTTTAAGTTGAATTACTGAAATAAATGAACTTTTGCACGATATTCAAATTTTTCGAGTTCACTTTCCGGCATGTCATGGTTTCTGTAATGACTTCTGCAAAAAGCACACGGTCGCTGTTAGAAAGCATGTGTGTTCTTGTGTTTTCCACACAGAGCTGGTTTCGCCAGGCAGGGAGCTAAAGAGAAGCAGCTCTTGAAAGAGGGAAACGCGTTTAACGTCTCTCCGTTCGTCCTGCGAGCGATGATGAGCGGTCAGTACTGGCCCGAGGGGGATGAAGTTTACCACGCCGAGCTCACCGTACCCATACTGCTGGTGCACGGCATGTACGACAAGTTTGTTCCAATTGATGAGGATCAGCGGATGGCAGAGGTTCGTGCACATCAAATGTATTTTCATTGTGCTGCGGTTGTTTCTTGTGAGAGTTTTTTTTTTTGGCTGCGTCACAAATCACATACTTCTACTGTGCACACAATGCATGATTTTTGCTGGTGGTTTCAGCAGTTTAAGAACATGTCCAGGTCATAATTCAACTCAAAAACAAAAGAAAGAAATGTAAAATTAGATTTTGCATTAAAAAAATTAAGCCTATTTTTAAGGATTTTATTTTTACTAAGTATTTATATATCATAGCAATATTTCATGTATCTAACTAAACTTGCTTTGTGAGGAAAACTGTGTTTGTCTAACATTATCTAATCATCCCCCTTTGTAGAACACAAGGCTTTTAATGGATTTATATTTATTTTTTATAAACGCTGACAAAAACATGTGCAGTTATGCAAAATATAAGATGGTAAAAATTTAATTGATGAGATGTCAATACAATATGTAACCTAGGGTAGTCTAACCTAGTCTAACAAGTTAAAACAAATTTTTTTTTTCGCTTGACATATTAATAGAGCGCAACAGTCGGGTTCCGGAAGTAAAAACTCCATTACTTTTCTCCATAGGGAAATTTATTTTAATCGATAACTTATAAACCTTTAAAGAAGAAATACTGTGAGCTACGAGGTTGTTAATCGATGGTATTTGCTTGTGTTGAAGGCGTCAGCCCACATTATTTCAGCTTATTTTAAAAATAATCATGTTTAACAGTGGAATTCCTGGTGAAAATCTACATTACCCATGATGCTGTGCAGAAAATTACACCAATCAGACTCAAAAAGAGCTCTTTAGCTCCGCCCACTCCCATGAAGCACTGCGAATGACGTAATCAAATCTATCTCTCTACGATCTCAAAATACTAAAATGTTTGTATATTTATGCATATTTTGCAATAAACTTAAAATATGTTTATATATATATAATCAACATTTGTAAATTAGTAGTTTTATATTCCTCCATTGTTTTTAATTTGATTGTTCGCAATGCTTCATGGGATTGTATTTTTTTCCCTCACTAAAGCTGTTAAGTACACAGTCTTCTATCTTTGCCTTTTTGTCCAATTTTAAGAAACTTTCTTGCTTCAAATCAAAGTTTTGTATTGTTGTGATTCACCCTGTAGCAGCTTGGCTTGTTTCATGGCTTATAACTCTTTAAAGTCCCTCAAAATTAAGTATGTGTTCTGAGTTTGTCACACCACAGAAACCCACCCAGCTAATTTTGAATGATAAAAAAAGCCACCAAGTAAATAAAATAAGCCATCAAAATCTTGCATTATCTATTTTAAAATCCCAATGGGAAAAATGAAATATATTTCCGGATCCAGTAACACTCTATTTCTTAACATAATGGCTATGTTTATGCAACTGCCCCCTGATTTCTTGTTGACTCTATTTGTACAGTTAATCGCACAGCTAGAAGTGTTTTCACATCATTAAAGCTGAACACTAATGCTGCCACTCAGTGTGTAGTGTATAATCATAGTGATTCCTACTGTGACTCTATACCCTGTATTTTTGATTTTGTAGTAAAATATTAGCACGTAACATTTTTTGTGAGACTCACACAAATATAATCTTGTATTCTATGCAGGATGAATAGTGTGTGAATTAGGATACAGCCAGTGTGTGTTCTCTGGAGGTGTGATGTTGGCTCACTCATGACTCTTCAACACAAGAGTGTCTCTGTGCTGTAATGGGCTGTTCATGTCAGAGGAGCGTTACACATGTCCTCATGCAGATGTGCTCTGAATCAAACAATGGCATCTCATTGTGCTGCTCATTGAACTCTTGCTGACGTCAGTTAGGACTTCCTGCAGGCACACAAATGTAAAAAAAAAGAAAAAGAAAGAAAATACAACGTTTAGCTCAAACCATAAGACTGATTGTTTGATCATATACAAACATACAAAAAAAATAACAAGATTAACATTAGTTTTATAATTGATATAATATATAATTTAAATATTGTTGATAGTTTATATGTAATTAATATATATGTATATATGAAGACTTCACATGCAAAAGCCAACTTTATTCATTATTAGAAATTAGATTAAACTATATACGCATTATACATTAAAAATAGTTTACATACACATTTACAAATACATGTCTATTATATATTTATATACATGTGTATATAATGTGCGTATTTATTTTTAAACAAATTTAATAGCAAATATTTATTTTTAAATGTCTTTATTATATTCAAATAAAATTGACAAAATACATTTAAAAAATGTTACTATTTAAATTATGTCATTTACATTAATTCGTTTTTATTATAATATATTATAATAAATTATTATACTATTATTTAATTGGATTATTTATTAATTAGAAATTAGAATAAATTATATATACATAAACATTAAAATGTTATATTTTATAAATACATTAGTTACATAAACATTTACAAATACATGTCTATATATGTTTGTGTGTGTGTGCGCGTTTATTTATTTTTAAATATAATAAATATAGATTTTTTTATTTCTTTATTATATAAAAATAATATCTATATAAATACATTATCAAAATATATTTTTGTAAGCTATGAAAAGGTTTAAAAAAATACATGTCTATATATATGTTTGTGTGTGTGTGCGCGTTTATTTATTTTTAAATATAATAAATATAGATTTTTTTATTTCTTTATTATATAAAAATAATATCTACATAAATACATTATACAAATATATTTTTTGTAAGGTATGGAAAGGTTTAAAAAATATTTAAGTTATGTGATTTATATATAAATGCTGTAATGTAATATTCTACAATATAATAAACACATAATATAATTGTAAATTGTCTTTATTTCAGATCCTCTTGTTTGCATTCCTGAAAGTAATCGAGGAAGGCAGTCACATGGTGATGATGGAATGCCCAGAAACGGTCAACACTCTCTTGCATGAGTTCTTCCTCTGGGAACCTGACAATTCCAAAAAGAACACGGTTACCAAGGTAACAGCCGACCAGACAACAGTCAACAACGTCACACCCGTCCAGACGCTCAGTGTCGCCAACGGCAACATCACAGGGACTCCCAAGGTCAACAAGCCCCTTAACAAGTAACCTGATGATTGACGTTTTTGGGGTAAAGCAATCAGAAGGCTGTTGATGGCAGGCTGAAACCGTCACCTTGGCTGAGAGCTGATTTTTGGTCAGATGGTCCTAGCGGGTGTCGAGACGGGGGTGAGAAAGAATCGCGTGTTCAAAGAGACTCTCGGTGAGAACTAGCGATGAGGGGAAAAGAAGCAGCTGATTTTAAACCAATGATGGTGGTTTATGACATCACGATGCCTTTGTGTCTCTCTGCTACCTTTGGACAATATCTTTCCTTCTTGTGCTGTCTAAACAAAAGGACTGGATGTCCGAAATCAAAGTGTTGTTGTCCAGGCGGGACTGAACTATGAGAAAGATATGAGAAAAAAACTATTGCAATCCAAACCAAGAGAGTGTTTAAAGTCAACATGAAATGTTTGCGACCTGGGCTTGACATTAACAAATGCGGTTGTTTGCATCAGTGGCGTGTAACGCAGTCACTTCGTACTACTAGACACTTTGGCGGGTTGAATATTACATATAATATATACATTTTTCGATTTCAGTAGTCTTATAAAAAGGCATCTGATATGATAAACTAAGTGCAATGTAGACATTGATTTTTCTATACATATCCATACTGAAATATCTGAAACGCTTCCAATACTAAATTTCCTGCAGAATAGATACACAATACCAGCTGTGCTTTCACTCTCTCTCTCATCTCTAAGACAGCGAGTGACACACAACCCCGCCTCTCCTCACTCACCCGATTAATTTGCTCCGGATGAATCTTGTTGCTGTTACAGGGCTTGAATTTCCCCGTGCGATTGCGCATAATTTGACAAATTCGAGCAGATTTTGTGCTCAAACACCCAAAGTGCGGCACATAAAGCCGCCACTCAGGACTAAACTGAGTTATATTTCGTTGCTTATTGCACTTAAATAGTCAAATACACACAAAATAATGTCAAAATGCCGGTCTTGGCGAGTATTCACGTAAACACAGTCAATTATGTTTAAGTAAATGTGCGTCAGGTCTTAAAGTGACAGCAGCCTAATATTCCTGCAGTCAAATTATGAGATAATATTAAAAATATTATAAAAAATATACTTCTAAAGTACTAAATTGAGTTATATTTCGTTGCTTATTGCACTTAAATAGTCAAATACACACAAAATAATGTCAAAATGCCGGTCTTGGCGAGTATTCACGTAAACACAGTCAATTATGTTTAAGTAAATGTGCGTCAGGTCTTAAAGTGACAGCAGCCTAATATTCCTGCAGCCAAATTATGAGATAATATTAAAAATATTATTAAAAATATACTTCTAAAGTACTAAATTGAGTTATATTTCGTTGCTTATTGCACTCAAACAGTCAAATACACACAATATAATGTCAAAATGCCGGTCTTGGCAAGTATTCATGTAAACACAGTCAGTTTATGTTTAAGTGAATGTAACAGTTGAGAGAGAAAACGTATGTATAATGGATCTGTGTGTCAGTTCTTAAAGTGACAGCAGCCTAATATTCCTGCAGCCAAATTATGAGATAATACTAAAAATATTATTAAAAATATACTTCTAAAGTACTAAATTGAGTTATATTTCGTTGCTTATTGCACTCAAACGGTCAAATACACACAAAATAATGTCAAAATGCCGGTCTTGGCAAGTATTCATGTAAACACAGTCAGTTTATGTTTAAGTGAATGTAACAGTTGAGAGAGAAAACGTATGTATAATGGATCTGTGTGTCAGTTCTTAAAGTGACAGCAGCCTAATATTTCTGCAGCCAAATTATGAGATAATATTAAAAATATCTTTATGGCAGTTTTTCCCCATGGTAGTCAAAACTGTGGCTAGTAACTTTGGAAAACCACTAGGCGAAAAAGTTAGTGTCAAGCCCGGTTTGCAACCCATTTCACTTATTGTGTGTTTCATACAGTACCAGAACAATTACAAAGACCAGATTTTACTTTAAAATAACATGCACAAATTGTGCACAAGTGTGTGTTGTAATAAAAGGGTCGCTTTCATGTTGACTTTAAAGGACGTTTGTACAGAGTCCGTGTTCATATTATGCGATATACAAGTACTAATATTGAAATCAACACATTTTAACACGTCTTCCCTTATAAAGCAAATCCATCGCTTGGAGTTTAAGAGCGAGCGCAGACGTATAAAATACTGAATTCTGTTAAAACACTCCTTGAAAGATAACATGCTGTAAACCAACTCATGCTAGCTACACATTATTTCACTTGAAACAAATTGTATGAATTTAACAACAAAGCAACAGATGTTGGTTCACATGAAGGACAAGCAAAAACATCACATGGAAATCGACCGTCGCAATGGGAGATTTCATGCCAGTTGGCACTTGTTCGTCTCTTAGCAACTAGAAAGTCGGGCATTAGAGCAGATACACGGTGAGAGAGAGTTATAATGATGCTGCTGGCCACAATATGACATGATGGTGCTGAGGAAAAACAGGATATAAGCTATAGTGTCACTTTTGCACCGAATTGCACGAAAATCTAGAATCTGATCATCAGGTTGATTCAATCATGTGCAACGTGATGACGACGTATTTGCTAAATAGGACAGACCTGTCTGTCTATGCAAAGAATAACGAGAGGCTTCTGCACGCCTCCGGTCGGTTACCGTGGCAACAGTAGTCAAGAGCAAACTGGATTAAGAGCAGCAGGTCTGGTCCGTGTGACCCTCCGATCACTGAGACATCATGAGATCTCCGAACGTTTATGCAACCAAACATCCCTGTATCAGAGCGGATGAATTGGTGGACAAATTTTCAGGTATTTATGTAATTAACAAATGTCCACTTTTCATTTTAACAATGTCGAATCCACACTTTTAGATATTTATTATATTAATAATTAATTGGGCACAGACAAGGAGCTTGGGCAATTTAAAAAAAAAAACTTGGGCAATTTAAAAGAACGCACTATTGTTTAAAGGTTTGGTGTCAATTAGGTTTTTTATTAGTATTATTATTAATACTTTTCAGCAAGGATGCATTAAATGGATCAAAATTAACAGTAAGGATGTGAAATGTTACAAAAGATTTCTATTTCAAATAAATGCTGTTCTTTTTTCAACTTTCTATTCATGAAAGAATCCGAAAAAAATACGAAGCAGTAAAACAGTTTTCAACATTTAAAATAATCATAAATGTTTCATGAGCAGCAAATCATCGTATTAGAGTGATTTTTGAAGGATCATGTGACACTGAAAACTGGAGTAATGATGCTGAAAATTCAGCTTTAATCACAAAAAATAAGTGGCAATATATTCACATAGAAAACTATATTAATATTTCACAATATCACTGTATTTTTGATCAAATAAATGCAGCCTTTATGAGACTTTTTCTCAAAAAAATCTTTCTGACCCCCAAACTTTTGAAAAGTAGTATAACTATAAATTCCCATTTTAACAACACATTGCAACAATAAATTACACTAACTCTAATTCAACTGAAGGGAAGGGAGTCTACACCTTTTTTTGATGTGCTGAGAAGAAACGTAGACCTTACAGTCTGCTACATGATTACTGTGTGATTGATGGAAGAATTGGAGATATTGTAGACGTGATTACAGGTGAATGATGCCAGTGTTTAACATCTGCTCAATTTCAGTGTTACCAGAGAGAAAGTTCTAGCATCTGATTACAAAGTATATTCTACTGAAGACGTCTATCTGTAGCCAGCTGTCGTTTAGCACAGACAATAATTTTCACTCGTCCTTAAATTACATTTACAGTGATGCACTTACTGTACGATCCAAGTCTGTGGAGTGTTACTGGATTTTACATGGTCATAATAGGACAAAATAATGGAAATAACAGTGATTAACATGTACCGTGTGATGTTTAAGTCTCTTGGCTATACATTCAAAATGGTGTATATTTTATCCATTTATCCCAGTGCATATTTTATCCCCATTGACTTCCATTGAAAGTGCATTACTGTACACAGAGGTGTAAAGTCCAGGGGTCAGAAAGTAAAAGTCCTGCCATATGTGTATTCCACCAGTTCACTAATTACTTCTCTCTCCTGGCTGAAAAACTGTGCTAATTAGCAAATCCAGGTGATTGGAACAAAATACTGAGCAGGACTTTTACTTTCTGAACCTGGACTTTACACCTCTGACTGTACATGCAAAAATTATTTGTTCTGATAGATGTTGTTCATAAAGCTTAAGTTGCACCAAACTCAGAATATTTATTAAAATGTTACTTGCATATACAATTACATTGTAATGCAGTGCAGAGGATATACATTTTATTGCAGCCACTCCTGTGAATTAGAAAACAAAAACTATTGTGCATTTGACAAAAACTTTGTACTACCTAAAGGTCAGTTCACCCCAAGAACGATAACTACAAAGATAACCATTTTAGCATCCACACTAGTGGATGATAACGTATGTTTATTCTAACCGTACGCTGGAATTTTGTCGTCTGCTGCTTTAAATGCTCAAGCTGTTAAAAACAGGATGGATTCTAATTGGATGTTAATGTTCATCAGCTGGAGAAAAATTATTTCTTGTTATAGTAGTGGCTTGTATGGAAGCTTGTTTCTGCCACTGAATAAAAAAGGTAATTGCGACTTTTTATTTCGCAATTCTTACTTTTTTCTTGCAATTGCGAGTTTACATCTTGCAATTCTGCCTTTTTTCTAAGAATTGCGTGATATAAACTGGCGAATGCGAGAAAAAAAGTCCGAATTGTGAGATAAAATGTTGCAATTGCGAGAAAAAATTTAGACTTGTGTGATAAAATGTTGCAATTGCGAGAAAAAAATCAGAATTGTTTGATAAAAAGTCGCAATTGCAAGAAAACGTCAGAATTACGAGATAAAATGTTGCAATTGCGAGAAAAAAGTCAGAATTGCGAGATAAAAATTGCAATTGCAAGAAAAAAGGTCAGAATTGTGTGATAAAAAGTCACAATTGTAAGAAAAAAGTCAGAATTGTGTGATAAAAAGTCGCAATTGCAAGAAAAAAGGTCAGAATTGCGCGATAAAAAGTTGCAATTGCTAGAAATAAAGTCAGATTTGAGAGATAGTCACAATTGCGAGAAAAAAGTCAGAATTGCGAGATAAAAAGTCGCAATTGCAAGAAAAAAGGTCAGAATTGTGTGATAAAAAGTCACAATTGTAAGAAAAAAGT